TTCAGAACTAAGGCATATTTACACATCCTGAGACCCTCTTGTCACTTCTTCAGGCTTGTGACCTGTGTTTCTAGCAGTAGATTTCTTTAGTTTCTTTTCTGCTTTGAACTAGCACTCGCAGGTTTCTACACAGGCTTTCCTCTATCAAAACTAGCAAAAATTTGAGGTCAAATAAAGTTTATTAAAGAGTGGGACTATAAAAACAATAACCTCCAAAAAAAGAGGAAAAAGATAAATACATTTTAGAAATTGGACAAAGGTTTCTGTTATGTTTGTTGACGTGCTAAGTCTCAGGACCTCAGAATGAGGACTTTTTTGGAAATAGGATTTCTGTAAATGCAGACATGAGACAGACTTCAAATCTAGTCAGAGGCAAGTTGTTATGAAAATTGTAAATATGCATAAAAACAGATGTAGGATGATTGTCATATGCTGTTCCTTAGAGCCCTGCTGTCCTAGAGAACCATCAGAATTCAGGGCAAACCTTGGGTACATCCCATTTTTGTGCAGTAAAACATGATTCTGCTTATACCGTGGCCTTAGTCTTCTGGCCCCAGAGCTGGGAAAGAATATGTATCTTCTAATTAAATCAGCACTTTTAAGGACCCTTTAAAAACAGCAACCCTAACAAAGGGATTAAAGTCTCGTGGATCCTTCAGCCCTCAGAGTTGGCCCTGATCTGGAGAGGGAAACACAACCTGATATGGAAAATGAGGTGGGCCTTTGGATCCCCACTTGGATATGCCTGGGGTTAATGCAGAGCTGGGGTTTATTAGGAGGAAGAATAACATATGCTTAGATTAAAGTGTGGGTAGAGGAGGGAGATGAAATATAACTAAGTATTCTGGGAACAACTAAGCACACATGACTTTGTGACTTTTGAAGTTATATTGTTGTAACTAAATAATATATAACCCAGTTCAATAAGCAGGGTGATATACTTCTTTAAAGTTAGTCCTCGGGTAGCAGAGACAGGTGACTCTCTGTGAATCTGAGGGGAATGTGATCGACAGAGTGAGTTCCAGGCCATCCAGGGCTGCAGAGTGTCAACACCATGACAAGGCTAAAACAGAGATAGTTCATTTATTTATCTTATGTTAACCAATAACCCCTTGTAAGTAAAACTTCAAGGTAGATTGTGAGGAACCTTCTGCTGTGGGGCAATGGTCTTGTACCCTGTAAAGATTTGTCACTTGTATTGGTGTAATAAAATGCTGATTGGCCAGTAGCCAGGCAGGAAGTATAGGCAGGGCAACCAGAACAGGAGAATTCTGGGAAGAGGAAAGGCTCAGTCTGTAGTTGTCACTCAGACACAGAGGAAGCAAGATGAGAACACCTCACTGATAAAAGGTACCAAGCCATGAGGCTAACACAGACAAGAATTACAGGTTAACTAAAGATGTAAGCTGTACTTAATAAAAAGTCTGAGCTAATAGACCAACCAGTTTTTAATTAGTCTAGGCCTCTGTGTGTTTCTTTGAAACTGAATGGCTGCAGAGCCAGGAGGGAAAGAAACCTCTGTCTACAATCTTCTTTAAGTTCACAATATAAGGGAAATACCAATAAAATCAAATTCAAATCCTTCAGCATTGCTTATAAGCTGTGTCAACACTTATGCTTGAGATATCACTAAGAAGCAGGATTGCCTCTATGAAGGCAATCTTCATACTGGCTTCTGTCTCTTGTGTCAGAAATACTGACTCTCAGCCAGCAAGAAAAGCAAACCAAACCCCAGGGGATAAGGAATGTCTCTATAATCTTTGCTGTCTTTTTTATCCTGTTTCACTATTATGGGGTCTGTCCACCTTAGCACCCAGCATACCTTCACATGAAAGAGAAGACCAACACAACTATACATAAACATGCAACTTACCTGCTGGAGACAGTCCAGGTCCTATGACCAACATCCTTGCATAATCAATGTCAGATAAAAAGAATTAAAATAGTATTACTTTCTGTTCAGTTAAGGTCTGATTCATAGTAAAGATCAAAATGAGTTTTTCTGAAATACAATTCTGATCACAATATGAAAAGTAATTTCTAATAGCTATGCATCTTTTCTACATGCTGAATTCTGATGTCATTTCAGAAAAGAATTATAAAATAGTTTACAGGCTCTCTGGAATTTAGATTTTTCAGACTATTATTTTAAAGTTCCTTATGTGTTATTTAGAAACTATGATACTAATGAATTCAGTATGGACATGGCATGGATTGTTAGATAAATATCAGCTTTTGAGGGCTCTTTGTTGTAATTTTCCATTGGTGATTTTCATACACACTAACGGTTTTATACAGTAAGGTATGCCTGAGATTATTCCTCTGCTGTTGGCTTACTCGGTGCGTGTGCAAGGCAGGCTAGAGTCAAGAAAATCTGAGACTCTCCCAACTGTGCAAAACCGGATGTGTTATAAGAGTTGGTGTTGATCGTTGAGTGGGCTTGCATTCCTCCTAAATACAGGCTGAAGCCCTGACTCCTGGTTATTGAAGTACACATTAGGTCAAAATCCTCATTTTGAGAGAGGCCCAATGGACTAGGCTCAGCCATCCATCCCAACCAAACCAATCAGAGGCATAAGCAGCGGAGGAGGTAGGAAAAGAGCTTTATTGCCTGTAATCATACTGGCAAGGACAGAGGTCTAATGACCTCAACCGTGTCTTGAAATGGTTTGCAGCAGTCCCAGTGGTATATCGGAGAAAGAAAGGGAAGCACTGGACATTTCCATGGTAACAGTCCGGGTTGTCTTCATCTGGCTGGGCCATTTCTCAGTATCTACTTTGCTTTGTTGATGTCAAGAAAATCTTTGCTGTTTAGGAAGTGGTTTGGGTTCTTTGTCTTAAGATGGTGTCCTGGGTTGCCATGTAACTGCAGTGAAGACGTACAGAATTCATAAGGGAAAGTGAGGGACAGAATAAATCTGAAACAAGATGGAGTTGGTCAGACCAGTCATCTGGCTTCATGAATGTGTCTTTTTTTTTTTTTTTTTTTTTGGAAATAGCTCTTTGCCACTATAAACACTTTAAGAAAAGGTTGTGTGGGGTAGGATGAACTCTTTCAAAGGACTGGCACCTTCAGAAGATGAACATGAGCAGTTAGGTCAACACAGAGGAGGGCATCCTTGTGAAACCGAGATTAGGGTTCTACGGCTATGCCGGGAGCTGGGGAGCTGGTGAACTCCAAGTAAAGGAAAGGAGATTGCTTTATGATATATAAGGAACTCAAACAACAGTCCATTGCCTTAAGAACAAAACCCAAAGTTTTCTGGAGAAGTTCAAAGTCAAGTTCAATATCACCCCTGGCTCAAGTTTTCATACTGCCAATTTGTCTTAGAGATTTAAACTCAGCAGTCAGGGGTTCATCAGTGCATTCTTTGATGTTCTCCATTGCTTTTCACACACACACACACACACACACACCTATAACTCTCTCTCTCTCACACACACACACATCTATAACTCTCTCTCTCTCT